TCTTGCTCGGGCAGGGTCGCCTAGGAAACGGGCCAGGGGCGCGCCGACCGAGCCTCCCTATGGCCGTGGTTGTGAGCCAGGCAGGGGCAGAGAGCTGCGAGTGCGAGCGCGCCCCCCCAGATGTTGCGCCCGGTGCGGCCGGCCCGGAAAAAGGTGCCGGAACGCGGTTCCGCCGCGTTCCGGCTGAAAAAAAGCCCTGCATTAAAATGAAATTTTGTTGCATTCAGCTCTCAAAAAAATACCATTATGCATATACCCATATACATACACATATATGACACAGATAAACATCAGTCTAGTTCGAATGTATACATATACATGGTACATGGTGAAAAAAAAGAATCCTGTGAATTTACAAGATGGATGGCATAAGGAACAAAGCTGATACAGAATCTAGTAGTTCTGCTATAAATGCTTCGAAACCTTCTCCCAGGGGGGAGCAATAGGAACAGACTGTGAAGTGGGTGTGAACAATGCTTCAAGCTCTAAGCAAATAGCACTTATAAGCAGTATCCTGAATAATGGGAAGCATTATTGTTGCAACATCCTGCAGTCACACAATTGCAATTTGCGGCCTTCCCTGCTGGCTTTCCACAAGCAAAGTCAATGGGGAAGCCGGCAGGAAGTCAAAGGTCACACATGTGAGGTCCTTGCTTAACGACCCACACAGTTCTCACTTCACAATGATTGGGAACTGCCAGAATTGCCATTGCTAAGCAGCACAGTCATGTGATGTCACACTTTATGACTGCATCATTTAGCAATGATAATTCCAGTCCCAATTACCCTTGTAAAGCAAGGATTACCTGTATTTCTCACTATGCTTATAAGAATTATCTTATTATTCCTCTGGGGAATTATCCCTCTGGGAGTTACAAAGTTGATGGCAGTCTAAAAAAATTGTCAGCTAGCTGTAATATCCTCCAAAAAACTTTCCAAAGCAGCTAAAAATCCTCACTAAAATAACTGTGAACAACACCAAAGTACAAAGGCAGCTCAGAGAAGTCTTGAAAACCAATACCAACAATACTGATTATGTAGAATCATTATCAAGTAAATCCATCCACAGCTGGTGACAGAATCAGGAGGCCTCAATCAGCAGGGTATTTTAGAGCTTGGGGCTACAATGAAGAAAGCCAAATATAAATGCTACTTGCCCTTTTCATATTCCTAAAATAGAGATAGGCAATATTGTAGTTCTACAGACCCCCCCCCTCCTCTGAAGCAAGCAGGGTTGAAATTTATGATGCTCTTGTAATATATTTGGGGGAAGAGTTGAAGGAAGACAATGGGTGCTTTAAGCCTATCATTTTTTTAAGGTTTAAAGAATTTGATTTGGTATTTTATTTCTTAACAATCATCCCCTTCAAAAAGAAGTTGCAAGAAAAGGAGTCAGGTAGCCTTTGCTTAATGACCCTAATTGGGACTGCAATCCTTAAGTGAAGTGGTCATTAGCTAAAGCATGTGACTGCACTGGTTAGCAATGGCAATTTTAGTTGTCCTGGTTGTGGTCATGAGGCAGGACCATGCCATTCTTAGGCAAAGACTTCACATTTTTTCCTGCCCAGACACATTTGCCTCTGCTTCAACTTCCCCCCACCTGCCTATGCCCCCCCCGATCTTTGCCCTTTTGGTGGCCCTGCGCTTCACCACCTTTCTGCTGCTTTCTTCCTCCTGCTGTTGACAAGGGGCGTTGGGCCTGGCCATTGTAAAACAACAGTGGCAGCTATGTGAGGCCTTCCGTGGCAGCACCCTTTTGAAATATTTAATATTTCTGAATAAATATGACCTAACACGTGACCTGTTCTCCATACTAGATAAAAAGAACCCATTTAAATAAATGAGTCAAAAACATTTGTACATTTTTGCCAGGCACCAATGCGTAGCTTTAGATCATTTTCCTCAATAAATAAATGAACAGGTATGTTTTCATTCAGTTCATTGGGTTCACTTTATCTAATTTTAGGACTTGTGTGAAGAACAGATTACATTTTAAGACGTCTATGCAGAAATGTTGGAAATTCAAAAGGATTCACAAACTTCTTTTTTTTCCCATAATTTTTTTTTATTTTTAATTGAACAACAAGTACAAATGATGCATCTACATACACCAGCAAGAAATAAAAATAATCTTACTCAAAACATTTTCGGATACGCTCGGCAGTCCCCGCCCTGCCTCCATCCTCATCCACTTACCTCTCCTTCCTCCCCCTAAACCCACAACCTCTCCTCCTTCCTTCTTACCACCTCCCTACATCCCCTCTGCCTTCTTAACCACCTCATCGAGTGCAGATTGGGGTACTAGCCGAGCATATCCTCTTATTAATACAATTCCATTATAAACCTATAATAATTAAATACATCAATTTATAATTTTCCCTTAATCCCCTCCCCTCCCCGACTTCCCAGAACTAATTACAGGATTAAACACACCTCATAAAGCAATCAATTATAAAAGAAACTTTAACTCAAATAATAAAAATCAAAAATTATACTCTATTTTAACACCAAAACTCAAAATATAATTATCCATCTTCCCCAAATCCAAATATCTAAAAATTAAACTTTACCATTTCTCTTATAATCATAGTCCCATTAAATACAAAATTTAAATCCTTTAAAATAATATAATTATATATCATTAATCATCTAATGTCTTATAACAAATTCAAACCATAATATTAATCCAAAGTTTTAAAGATATAAGCTTCTATCCCAGCTCTCCATTTTGCATCTCCCCCCCAGTTTTTCATTCTTTTTCACATCATTGATACAAAATCAACCTTCAAGATCAATAAGTCTTCCTTTTACATTTTATAACGTGTCCGAAATTTTTGCAAGTAGTAGGCCTGTAAGCTTCTTCCAAAGACACGAACAGCAACATCTTCAGCTGGTTTTCTCTGATGCACGACCCGTAAATTAATTCCATATAAGCTTTTTTTTCTCAAAATTTCAACAGGGAGGTACACCAGAACCAGAACCAAATCTGTTACAGCTTCCTTTCCCAGCTTTTCAAACTTATCATTTTCCAAATCTCCACAATATAGCATGTCATTTTGGGGTATTTCCATAACATCTTCTTCAACCTCTTCACATAATTTATCTGCCCGTTGCTCTGTGCAATCTGGAACTATAAACCTCTGGAGAGCAGATGCCACAGTTTCATATGATTCTTCCAATCTCTTAACCCAGAGATCTTTAACTTCCACACCATGTTGCTTAACTGCTTGCATCAAAACATCCTGTAAGTCATTTATAATTGAAGATAAAGGCATTTTCAGTAGATTCCACTCAGCAACCCAAAAAAAAATAAAAATTTCTTTCTCACTTTTTTTCTCAGTTCCGCAGCCATTTTAAAACCATTCTCCAAACTTCTTTAAATATCACTTCAATAGTCCAAAAGAGTAACAGTATTAATATCACCAACCAATAGGCATCACAAATTCATTGCAGCTAAAACTTTCCAGAGCCGAAGAAGCAACAATGTATCTCTATCCAGTTAGTAACCAAAAGAGAGTGAAAGTAAAAAACAAAAGTATTCCAGAGAAACGGCAATTCCGCAGCCATTTTCTCTCTCTTTAAATCTCCACAACAAAAAGAAGATGCTAGTATATTTTCAGAGTCAAAGTCACAAACAGTCCACTGTAACTCCAAACCTCCTGTTTAGTTCCGTCTGCTTATAGTTTGAGTCCAAATACCTTTCAATAGCAGAGGTGGGAGCTGCATCTGGCTTCGCTCCAAATGGGTAGGAGCGAAGGCATCATGGGGTGTGGAGAACGTCCAGACTCCGGGCGAGCTAACATCTCTCATCCCCGATTAAAGCAAAACCGGGGTGAGAGGAAGCTCTAGCCCTATCTGGACTAACTCACCCCCCCCTTCGCCCGAGGGACGAGGTTCCGAGCCGAGAGACAGCTGACGAACGCTGTCTCTTCAGGCTTTGACACGCTCCCAGACGGGCGGCTAACAAAAGCCGCCATGCGGTGCAGCCTGTCACCACCAGAAGCCCAGGATTCACAAACTTCTAAACACCACTGTACATAGTTGAAAGTTGCTCTAAATGTTTTTGTAATATTCCCAAATTCTTCCAACATCAGTTTAGGGTGCTTAATTTCATAATGCCACAAAAAAAGGTACAGCAAAAGCAGGGAGAAGATAACCAGAAAACAGCATGAGTGGACAGAAGCAACAGAGGTAGGTAAATAAAAAGAAAGTTTATGGAGTCTTGAAGTGGAAGAATTTGAAAGTAATTTGGAACATAATATTCTTTCTGTATAAAAGAAGTTACTATCTTGGATGGCTATATCCCGAAAGACAGCACAAAAAGCACCTTATTGTTAGAAATATCTCTAACAATAACCTATCTTTGTCTTTCACACACAAACCTGTTCTTGGAGCTGAGCCCACTCTGATTCAGACACAAGCTGGTATCCCGCTGGTGGTAAATAAATAGTCTCAGGCACCAGGGTTCTAGTTGAGGAGGCAATGGAACAAGTCTCAGGACTTGGGGGACGTCTGCGTCGGATAGAATGCCCAGAACTTGGTGCCAAAGAGGAAAATGAAGCAATGGAGATGCTGTCCAGATTACAAGCAAACTTCTCTGCTACTCCTCCTTCCATCAAAGGAGCCTGGTGACTTCCAGGCAAATCCGTGGACACAGTTTCGGGGTCAGCAAGAAGGGATTCAGCTGAGCTACATAAAGAATGCTGAAAAGAAAAATATGGGAGTTAAAGAATTCCAAGCTGCTCAGATTGAGTATTGCAAAGTATTTATAGCTGGGACTCTTATTTTGGGGACCGTTTAATTCAGATTCAGAATAGATCATCATGGAGAAAATCTATTTGTGCAATCACCAGGAGTTGAAAAAGACCTGATGGCGTAGAAGACTGTAAAATTGTTTCTGCTGCTGATATTGGTTAGGTGCATATATGCCAACAATAAGACATTTTTTCCCATTCAGTAAAAGTTCAATAAACACATTTAAACAATTGAAGGTTGGTAAGGCCCCTGGCACAGATGGGTTTACTGCAATTTATTATAAAAAATTGTCTGAAGAAATGTTAGAACCCTTGAGATGTCTTTTTAATGATATTTTAATGGAAGGACAAATACCACCATCTTGGAGGTGTGCATTTATTTCACTTATACCAAAGGAGGATCAAGATATGACTCAGCTTAAAAATTATAGGCCAATATCTCTATTGAACACGGATTATAAGATTTTTGCAAAAATATTAGCTAATAGACTAATGCAAGTATTGAAACGGATTATTCATGTGGATCAGTCTGGATTTATAAATGGAAGATATATGAAGAACAATGTAAGACAAATTGTGAATCTGTTGGAGTATTTGGATAAAAATAATCAAATTCCGGCGGCTCTTATCTTTTTGGATGC